TACCTTGATTGCAGTCTTCATCCATCAAAACTTTACTAGTGAGATTGGTTATCTAGTCGAGAAACCGTAGTTTGCGTCTCATCTGGCCATATAGCGGTGGGATGTGTTGACAATCCGTTCAGTCTGTACTTCACACAGCGCGTGTGACGTGTGAGGGCTCGCGTTTAAAGATTTTGGCCCCGTCCACCTTCCATAGAATATGACAGAGCTCGTGTTTAAAAGCCAAACACACTGAACTTAATAATTCACTTAAAACGCAGCGCGAGTCTCTGTTCTCTCTGCAATCTCTGATGTAATCAGCCTGCTTTCCTTTATATTAGCGCTGTTTTGGACGGATTGTTTGAATGCATTCGCTTACTGGATCAGTGGACTGAAAACTTTCCTGGAGTTTAGCAGCTTAAAATGATCTGATCGCAAACAGAGTAGCAAAATTGGGTTAAAGGGTTAGAATAGAAATTGTGCTCCAGTAATTTTGCGTTAAATTATTTTTTAAATTAATGGCATACGTTAACGCTTTAACGATGACAGCCCTAATTTTTTAAAAATATTTTTTGTTTTATAAATTATGTTTATTTAACATTTTTATGATTTCATTATTTGTTTTTTATCAACTCACAAACCCATTCTAATTCTCACATTAACTTTGGTATAAACTTGATCCGTGTTTAATGCATTTCTTTTATATCAATATGCTATGTTCTATAATAAATTTACAACTAATTTAATTAACTAACTTTGGTATAAATTTGGTATTGTTCAATGCATGTTTTATATCAATTTGGTATGTTTTATAATATATTTAAAACATTTAATTAACCAACTTTGGTTTAAAATTTGGTATTGTTTATTAATTTTTTTTTGTATCAATATGATATGTTCTATAATAAACTTAATACTAAATCAGTTACCTACTTTTCGTAAAAATTTTGTAATGCTTATTGTAACATTTAATACCATGATCATATATTCTTCAATTAACTTCTATTTTACAGCTTCGTTAAAAAGGTTAGTAAAATTATCATTCACATATTAAATATTATAAAATTATATTTTTTAAAAGATTCTCAAACCACTCTGATCACACCCTCTTCCTCCAAACTGCATAACAGCAATAAATCATATATTAAATATTCAATTCTATTTTTAAGACAGATTCTCAAACCACTCTGATCATACCCTCTTCCTCCAAACTGCATAACAACAATAAATCACATATTAAATATTCAATTCTATTTTTAAGACAGATTCTCAAACCACTCTGATCATACCCTCTTCCTCCAAACTGCATAACAACAATAAATCACATATTAAATATTCAATTCTATTTTTAAGACAGATTCTCAAACCACTCTCATTTTCATTTTTCAGATTTCAATATTAAAACAAAAATTGATTGGACGGAAGATACCCTGATTAAATCATACCCTCTTCCTCCAAACTGCATAACAACAATAAATCACATGATACATAATAAAATTCTATTTTTTAAACAGATTCTCAAACCACTCTGATCATACCCTCTTCCTCCAAACTGCATAACAGCAATAAATCATATATTAAATATTTAATTCTATTTTTTAAAACAGATTCTCATACCACTCTGATCATACCCTCTTCCTCCAAACTG